GTGACAGCATCTTTAGGAGACCCTGGGAAAATGGGGTAATGGTCAAGTCCTGGGGGAGTTAACTGCATTATTTGTTGTCTGGTCTCTGTGCAATTGGGAAGGCAAGGCTTATCTGAAGTCCTGGCTGGAGTAGTCTGTGAGGCTGGACCATCTCAGCCAGCAGCTTGAAGCTGTTCTGCAGGCAGAACTCTGAGGAAACTGCAACCTGGGCCACCCGTTTTCATTGGTGTCTGGTCCCCTTGCTCTGAAAATGCATTAACTATTAAAGATAACACACATAACTGCATTAACTCAAGTATGTAACATGCAGTGTGCACGTGTCTGTTAAAGATGACTTTTTTTTTTATATCTGAGCAGGTAAAAGTCTGTTTGGACTGTAAAAGCAAACTGTAATATAAATCTCTGTCCATGCCATATGAGAGAATGGCATGTAATAATAAGTCATGAGGACTCTGTAGCCAACAAGATTTATCATGTCTCATCTCATCTCACAGCTCTTCCCATGTCAAGGGATCAGCTTACACATCACCTGTCCTGTAGTCTTTTTTGGCTTCCTCCCCCATGTCTGCAGCCAAGATACTCAGGAGGTCTTCTGTAAATGAAGGCAGAGATTTCTGTCTCATTCGCCTGATCCTGAATACCCGGCATCTGCTTCCCAAATTACTACTCAGAGGCTTATATTAATTATAAATGCCTCGTCATTAGCTGAGGCTTATTACATCACTCGGTCTATTAATCCATGTACTGCCCCAAGGCTTGCAGCCTTCACTTCCATCCCATTTTGTATGCCCGACTTGTTCTCCATCTGGCTCGCAGCTCTTCCAAGTGTGCCCTTCTTTATTACCTCCTTATTTTGTTTTTTCCACCTAACTTTATCCTGCCTGGCTATTGGCCCAAACAGCTTTATTATTAACCAATGAGAGCAACACACATTAACAGCATACAGAAAGGTCATCCCACAGAAGTCTTCCATGGTCAAATCTGATCTCTATTTTTTTTTCTGGTAGGAATCCAGAACCTTTTGTTTCCTGAGGAAACAAAAGCATAACCTCTCTCTCATAACCAACATAACATAATGTCCAGCTTCCATTTTGAAGTTAAGTCATTTTTAAAATATATAGGTTAGTTTAATTTAGCAGTTTCCATAATCCAATGTTTCTTAGCAGCTATTCCTTTTT